GGACATTGTGCGGACAGAGCTTTTATATATACACACACATACATACATACCAGGATATAAAATTATCTAAAAAAAATTAAATCATAATATTTGTAATTTTAGGCACTGAAAGCTTCTCCAGTAAGATTTGTTACAGAAATGAAAAGTATTTAAGGTTAAAGTTGGCGTTACTGAACATTTACCATGTTTTTCCAGTCATGGCCATGTCTGTCTGTGACGACACACTGCTGTGTAATTACCCAAAGTGTCGGGCCAAGCTGAGTGGCTTCGCCTGGGTCACCGCCTGCTCGCACGTTTTCTGTGACCAGCACGGTTCTGGTGAGTTCAGCCGCTCCCCCGCCATCTGCCCGGCCTGCTCCTCGGCTCTGTCCGGGAAGCTGGACATTGTGCGGACAGAGCTTTCGCCCTCTGAGGAGTACAAAGCCATGGTGCTGGCAGGCCTGCGACCGGATATGGTTCTCGACATCAGTGCCCGCGCTTTGGCCTTCTGGAGCTATCAGGTCGAGTATCCTTCGGTTTCTACGATCCACATGTGGGGGCATCTAAATGCTAAACCTTACAGCATGTTGCTGTATCAGTCTTGTCTTCTCTTTAAATGTTTCCAGGTCCACCAAGAGCGTTTGTATCAAGAGTACAGTCTTTCACGAGCTGATTCACAGCTGAAGCAGATGGAGAAGGTTTTGACCCAGCAGAACCAGAGCAGAGAACTGGAGCTCACTGCCATGAAGGGGGAGATCACCTCTTTAAAGAAAGTAAACTGCAGCTCTTTATCTTCTTAACAGACAATGCTGGGATTAATTGTCATATGAGTGGAAAAACAGCCTCATGTTTACAGGAAAGACTTAAAAAAATCAAAGATCCCCATCTCTCTGCATTAACTTAAAAGTTTTAGGACGTTACCCACGATGCAGACACAGCTTTTTTGAATCTTTGTGCTCAGGTGATGGAGGAGTATAAGAGGAAGTACAGCGAGGTGTCTGAGAGGCTGATGGAGAGGAACAGGCAGTACCAGAAGCTGCAGGGGCTTTACGACTCCCTGAGGCTCCGTAACATGGTGGTGGGTGTGGGAGACAGAGAGGTGCAGCTGCAGCCGGGACATCAGGACTTCAACACAGGTAACATCAACACACTCCTCTTCGGTGTGTGAACACTTGTGAAGCACTCGCACTATTGTGATCCATTTTTCTCTTTAGCTTTTTGAAATGTTTAGCCTTTTCTGCCACTTTTTTGGTCATAGAAAATGAATTGAGCTCATTTTACATGCTTCAAATCTTGAGATGTGTTTACATCCTTTTACTGCTCCTTTCACATTTTGTCCTGGTTCATCTTCTTTCAGCTTCCTTCTGCAAATTTAAACTTTTTTTTTCAGCTACTTTCAGCTGTTTTGTGCTCCTTCTAACTTCTTTCTGCTATTAGCTCCTTTCAGTTTAGATAGATAGTTGTATACTTTATTGTCCCAAAGGGAAACAAAGCTTCTTCCACAATTAAATACACTACAACCAATAAAATCATGTGAACCCCATAAAGAAATACAAAAATATAAAACGCCTATTAATAAAATCACACAGTTCAATAAAAACACATATTGCACATTCCAGCAATTAAACGACACAACAATGAGACCAGAGCATCAGCGCATAACAAAAAAAACTATATGCCTACTTTAACAATCTGATTGATGTTGGGACAAATTAATTTTTAAATGTGTTAAGTCTACAAGCTGGGATTCTAAACCGTTTTCCAGATGGTAACAGTTCGTGTTGTGAGCTGAGGATGTGAGCGGAGTCAGACAGCACCCTCGGAGCACGTCTGAGGACAGACTCATCATAGATAGACTGCAGGGAGGGGTGATCAGTCCTTCCTGTCACCTTCATTACAGCTTGTACCATGCGACTAAGTTTAGATTTAAGTTGCACGGAGAGATTACCACACCACGCTGACATTCCAAACCTGATGATACTTTCCAATACGGCCTGATAGAATAAAACCATAAGCTTCTGGTTAACCCCAAAGATTCTGAGTCTTCGTAAAAAATACAATCCCTGCTGTAGCCGAGAGCACAACATGTTAACATGAATTTCCCACTTGAACAGATTATCTAGGTGAACATCCAGATATCTGTAAGAACAGACCTGTTTTATTTTCTGCTCATGAATAAAGAGCGGGAGATTGTCACTCAGACCTGGGGTCAATCAGCATGTCTTCCGTTCTCTTGGCGTTAATAACGAGGTGGTGGTCATCGCACCATTGAACAAAAGACTGAACCTCGTTAAAATATGACGAGGAGTCCATATCCTCATGCATCAAGCTGAGAATAGTATCATCAGAGAATTTAAAAACGTCATTCTCAGGGCAGCTGCTGATGCAATCATTTGTGTAAATGAAGAGGACAGGAGAGGAAACCCTGGGGAACCCCATTACTGATCCACTTAGCTCTGATAAGGTGTTATTGACTCGGACCAGCTGTGATCTGTTTGTTAAAAAAAGAATAAAACCATTTAATAAGAAGAGGATTAAGATTTGTCTGCTGTAATTTCTTAATGAGCAGATGAGGCTGTAGAGTATTAAAAGCAGAAGACGGGCAGAGGCCTTTGGGTTTTCAAGATGTTTAAGAGTTAGATGTGTGATGTCATTGATGGCATCATCTGTACCCCGTCCCAGTCTATAAACGAACTGGAAAGGATCAAGACCAGGATTTATCTCAAGACGGACACAACATTTCATTACTACTGATGTTAGTGCCACTGGTGTGTAGTCATTATTATCAGATGGACTTGATTTCTTGTGGACTGGAATGATAAGAAGGAACCATATGTTGGTCAAGTGATCGCTGAAAAACGGCACCAGACTGGAGTGAGCTCTTCAGCACAGGTTTTTAAGAGAAAAGCAGAAATGCCATCAGGACAAGTAGGCTTATTTTTGCTAACCCCAGTAAAGAGTGACTGGATTTTGAAGGGATTCATTATCAGCCTTGAACAGGAATCAGCTAATGGTCTGTACTTTGTCACACTCTGGAATGGGATCCTGTGTTTCAAACCTCATATAAAAGTTGTTGAGCTCAGTAGCTTTTTTAAGATCATCTGTGATGAGACACCGTCTCTTTGTAGTCATGTTTGCTGCTTTCATAGAGTCCCAGAACTTTTTTGGATCCCTCAATGAAAAGTTCTTCTCCAAAATATCCCGTGTTTTATTTATGCAAGTTTCAGCTTTTTCTGCTATTTCAGCTATTTAGTTGGTTTTTTTTTTTAATGCTAGTTTTAGCTTTTTCAGCTAATTCCACCTTTGTTGCACTCATTTCAACTATTTTCAGCCTAATTCAGCAAAAATGTGTTATCTCCTCTTCTGGTAATTTCAGCTCCTTTCTGCAAATGTTTAGCTATTTTTCAGCAGGTTTTATGCTAATTTCAGATTTTTTCCAGGTAATTTCTACTTTGTGCTCATTTCTGCTTCTTTTAGACTAATTGGGCAAACATTTCTTTCTACTTTCTTCTGCTAATTTAAGCTCGTTCTACCTTTTCAGCAAGCAGTATATTTTAGCTAATTTCAACTGTTTTCAAATAAATTCAAGTTTTTCATGGTAATTCTTTCAGCCTATTTTTGTTAAATTCAACTTGTTATTCTCCTTTCAGCTTATTTCTGCTAGTTTCAGTTGTTTCTACTATTTAGCTGTTGATGTTAATTTTAGCTTTTTCAGCTAATTCCACTTTTGTTGCGTTCATTTCAACATTTTTCAGCCTTTTTTCCCTCTCATTTCTGCTTTTTTCAGCCCAATTGGCCACACGTGTTCTTTCTGCTTTATTCTGCTAATTTAAGCTTGTTCTACCTTTTCAGCAAACTTTTTAAGCATTTTTAGCAAATTTCAGCTGTTGTCAGATAAATTCAATTTTTTCATGGTAATTTCTGCTACTTTCAGTCTAATTAAATTATTTCTGCTAATTTCATCTTGTTATGCTCCTTTCAGCTTATTTCTGCTAGTTTCAGTTATTTCAGCTACTATTTAGCTGTTTTTATGCTAACATTAGCTTTTTCAGCTAATTCCACATTTTTTGCACTCGTTACAACTCTTGTGTTCTTTCTGCTTTCTCCTGCTGATTTACGCTTGTTCTAACTTTCAGCTACATTTTAGCATGTTTTTTGTTGCTCATTTCAGCTGTTCTTCAGCAAGTTATTCTGCAATAAGCATTCACACTGCATTTTCGCAGGAAATGAATTGTTCTAGCCTCCAACTGTTCCTTCTCATCCAAAGACGAGTATAGTTTTAAACTCCAGCGTGAAAGGCGGTGGTCAACACTGACTTCTCCAAGAAATGCTAGGCCTCTTGTAATCTTTTAAAGTTGTCTTCAGACATTTCTTCTCAAAGGTCTTAAAAAGTTTTTATTTTGTACTTTGGCTGCGTTTTGTCTCGTTTTCTGTCCAGGCTCGTTTGAGTCACTGAACTCTGACCTGTAAATCATTCACACATTAAAAAAATAATAAACTCCTTAACGGACGTCCTTGTTTCACCCAGAGATGGCTCGGCAAGTGACCCCTCAGAGAAGCCCTCGGTTCCCCTCCATCGGCCCTGAAGGAGACAGACGTTTCTTCTCCTGCCTGGAGCCCGACGGAGCCAAAACCTTCTTTCAGTTCAGATCTCCGGTCAGAGAAAAGTGTCGTCCCTTCATCAACAAACGCTGACGGGAAATGTCTTCACAAACCGACCATCCGAGCTACTTCTGCACTGTGTTCTGATGGTTTGAAGCAGCTGAAGGTGTTATTAGTTCTTTAAACACATTATTTAGTGTTTGTTCCTGAAATGAATCACATGCATGTTTTGAGCTGTAACGCCAACAGGATACCAAATGGCCAGTAAAACCATTAATATTTATTTATTTCCTTACCTGTGTTACAGTAAAAGTCTTTAAAGAACAGTTCGTTTCAGAAACCTCTTTGTAGACTGAGTCAGTTTCAGCAAAGTAACGACAGCTTATCGAGAAGAAGAGATTTTAAATCAATTCAGAAAAGTTTACTGGAAAAAATGTGAAGCCGCTCCAAGAAATAACTTGTTGGACAAAGTTTGCACTTTGTACTAAATCAATTATTGCCATTTGGATTAAAGTTCTGGGATAAACAGAAATACAAAAACTATATGGTAACTAGAGAAATTGCACTTCCTGCGAAAATGCAGTGTGAATGCTTGTTGCAGAAGAACAAACAAAAGCAGAAAGAACACATATTTGCCGAATTGTGTTTAAATAAGGAGAAATTAGCACAAAAATTAGGAAATTACCGGGTAGCTAAAAAAAGCTGAAATTAGCAAAAAAATAAGGTGAAAAGTACAAAACAGATTCCAAAAAAGTTGGGACACTAAACAAATTGTGAATAAAACCTGAATGCAATGATGTGGAGGTGCCAACATCTAATATTTTATTCAGAATAGAACACAAATCACAGATCAAAAGTTTAAACTGAGAGAATGTATCATTTTAATGGAAAAATCTGTTGTTTCCAAATTTCATGGCGTCAACAAATCCCAAAAAAGTTGGGACAAGTCCATTTTTACCACTGTGTGGCATCCCCCCTTCTTCTTACAACACTCAACAGACGTCTGGGGACAGAGGAGACCAGTTTCTCAAGTTTAGAAATAGGAATGCTCTCCCATTCATGTCTAATACAGGCCTCTAACTGTTCAATCGTCTTGGGCCTTCTTTGTCGCACCTTCGTCTTTATGATGCGCTAAATGTTCTCTATAGGTGAAAGATCTGGACTGCAGGCTGGCCATTTCAGTACCCGGATCCTTCTCCTACGTAGCCATGATGTTGTGATTGCTGCAGAATGTGGTCTGGCATTATCGTGTTGAAAAATGCAGGGTCTTCCCTGAAAGAGATGACGTCTAGATGGGAGCATATGTTGTTCTAGAACCTGAACATAGTTCTCTGCATTAATGGTGCCTTTCCAGACATGCAAGCTGCCCATGCCACAAGCGCTCATGCAACCCCATACCATCAGTGATGCAGGCTTCTGAACGGAGCGTTGATAACAACTTGGGCTATCCTTGTCCTCTCTGGTCCAGATGACATGGTGTCCCAGTGTTCCATAAAAACTTCAAATCGTGACTCATCTGACCACAGAACAGTCTTTCATTTTGCCACACTCCATTTTAAATGACCCCTGGCCCAGTGCAAACGTCTGAGCTTGTGGAGCTTGCTTAGAAATGGCTTCCTCTTTGCACTGTAGAGTTTCAGCTGGCAACGGCGGATGGCACGGTGGATTGTGTTCACTGACGATGCTTTCTGGAAGTATTCCTGAGCCCATTCTGTTATTTCCTTGACAGTGACATTCCTGTTTGAGGTGCAGTGACGTTTCAGGGCCCGGAGATCACGAGCATCCAGTAGAGTTTTACGGCCTTGACCCTTACGCACAGCGATTGTTCCAGATACTCTGAATCTTTTGATGATGTTATGCATGGTTGATGATGATAACTTAAAACGCAACAATGGTGGAATTGGTGATCCTCTTACCATCTTGGCTTCTGAGAGACACTGACACTCTGAGGAGCTCTTTTTATACCCAATCATGTTGACAATTGACCTAATTAGTGTTAATTGATCTTCCAGCTGTTCGTTATATGCTCAATTTCCTTTTTCCAGCCACTTATTGCTACTTGTCCCAACTTTTTTGGGATTTGTTGACACTGTGAAATTTTGAATCAACATATTTTTTCCTTTAAAATGTTACATTTACTCAGTTTAAACTTTTGATCTGTGATTTGTGTTCTATTCTGAATAAAATAGACATTTGCCATCTCCACATCATTGCATTCAGTTTTTATTCACAATTTGTTTAGTGTCCCAACTTTTTTGGAATCCGGTTTGTATAAGATTATTTTGTTGCAGATTAATAATCCAACAATCTGACCAAATCTGAGTTCTTTCTTACTTTTTTAGAGTAACAATGAATTGAAAACATTTTTCTGTGCTACCGGGAAAAAACTAATCTGAATCACAAACTCAAACCTGCTGCTTCTGTTATTAGTCATGTCCGCTCAGGAGCGTTTTTCACTGGAATGTATAAAAACATAAACCAAGAGCTGCTGCTTCAAATCCACAGTAAATAAATACTTCTTTTTTTAGGTAAACTCAAGTCACCTTCACATGGAAGGTTTATTTAAATTATGAAATAACTGCGTTGGACCCCATAATGGTAAACTTTAAAGGAAATCATAAATATAAACAAAGCAGGGCGACACGTATGTACAGAAAAAAAAAAAAAAAAAAACTAAAACAGGCACAAACTTTGGGAACGCTCAAAATTCAGAGAAGTAAACTTAGCAACGGCTTTCAGTCCTTGCGTTTCATTCGCTCTTCTGCGTGTAGCTGACGGTGACGGGAATCTGACTTCTGACGTTTTGCTTCTTGCCGTTGACGATGAGCAGCAGCGGAGAATCGACTCGAATGCTCCTAAAATCAAACGACTGTCGGGAGGATATGGAAAAATTAGACGAGATTATTGTGCCGCAGGTAAGCAAAGATGGGAGGCGCTGACCTTGTTTTTGTGTGTGATGCAGTGTCGCTTGACGTTCGGTTCAGGAATGACCACAGAGTCTCCGATCAGGACGCCCCAGCTGTCTGCTGTGTTGTACACCATCACCAAAATGCACGTCTCTTCGCTGTCGACCATGCCGAACGTGCTGGGAAACGAAGACGGTGCGATTGTTATAGCAACCAAACGCCAAGCTGCCTGTGGATTACTGCTGTTTGAAACTCACAAGGCCATGCGACCCTCGGGGGCCAGGCTGAACACCACCTTCCCCAGAGCGGCCGCCCCGGCCGTGTGTCCGTGTGTGAGGGAGGACAGAGACTGAGGCACCAGGCTGCCCACGCGGCCGGACGGGGAGCGGAACTGGGGAGACGAGCAGGGACCCAGAGCCGACGTGTCGAGGTGTGACAGCATGAGCTTCAGCCGACGTGCTTTAACTTTCCCCTGGACACAAACGACAACAAATAAAAACACATCAGAGGCTGCTCTTTGCTGCCACCGTGTGGACACAAATACATTTGCACCATCGTAAAATAAAAAAATACAGAGGCCGTTCAAAAAAGTTCAAGACAAAAACAACTGGACTTTGTAACAGAAGACGTTTGGATTCTACGACGGAGCTTTAGGGCCACGCTTAATAAAAAAATTTATGAGTATAAAGTCGTAGTATTACAAGAATAAAATCAAAGTTACGAGAGTAAAGTCGTACAAGACTTTGCAGCACTCGTTTATTTATTTTTCCACAAGTTGGATCCAAAACACGACCTGTCAATCAATCCAGTAGGCGTGTCAGCAAATGACCAATCTGAAGCTAAATGAGTCGTAATATTATCTGAACTCAGACACAATGAAACAGTTTACAGCATTTTAACTGTGGTAAAATGAAGAACGTTGAACATCTTAAGTTATACTTTGGTATTGGTTTTACAAATAAAGAGATACTTAATCTGTTAGCACATCAGCATCAGATTATTGTCAGTATCAGGACTTTGAATTTACAGTAAGGTGGTACGCTCTGATGGGCTGCAGCGCAGCTCTGCAGGTAAGAAGCTTAGCTTTGGATTGGTCAATTGCTGACACGCCTATAGATTGATTGACAGGTCGCGTCGGGGATCAGACTCGTGGAAAAAATAAAAATAAATAAACGAGCTGAAAAAAAAAAAGTCTCGTACGACTTTATTCTCGTAACATTATGGCTTTTAATTTTTTTTTCTTAGCGTGGCCCTAAAGCTCCTGTAGGTTTCTCATTCGTGGAGCTTTCTCAGTTCAAAGAACAGTGTGTGGGGTTCAAGTTACAAAACTGAGGTAAGCTAGATACATATGCAGATTGCCCTATCAATCCTCACAGTAGGGTTTGTTAAGGTCTTTGTTAGTTTGACTCACAGATGGGCCACTCTGGTGACATGGATGCAATTCCTAATAGGAGTGTTTAAAGACAGTTTCTCTTGTTTTACATACCATATGTTCCGCCATACACGTCGCATCGCCCTATAAGTCGCATCAGTCCAAAAATGTCTAATAAAGTGGAAAAATCCATAAATAAGTCACTTCGCCATATAAGTCACATCTATTATGCGTCACCGCTGACAACCCAGAAACGAGGGCCGGTGTTGTGTCAAAAATCGATTGGCTGCCAAATGGCGGCCTCGCGAGCGTGCACGGGAGGACTTTAACAAGAATTTAACAAGATTAACACTTAAAAACAATTATTTGTTTGCTCGACATTATAGTAAAGTTGTATCTCAGTTGAACTTTTCCTTAATAAATACACTTCAATGGTCAAATCAGCTGACTGAAGAAGTCTTTCGGATGAAAGACGAAACATTTCTAAATTTTTTTTTGTTTTGTTTTTTTGAATGTCCAGAGACCAGATTGAACTTTTTTTTAGATTTTTCTACCTGGATTATTGAGCATGCATCAGGATATCAAATCGGCTGCGTATCTCCGGGGCGGCGCAGTGAAATGCAGCTGATTTGTTTGCTCCAAGCGAGCTGGACGATGGTGGCAGGCTGTGGTGAGCCGATAGTGTCATTAATAGCCACTTTTACCTATTACATGACACAACGGCATGCCTAACTACTCGAGTGCCATCTAGTGGCTGAAAATGGTAGTGTTCAATATTTTTAGTCAGAATGAATGAAAACGGTCACATCTCTGCCAAAAATTAGTTTATAAATATGGAAAAAAAACAAGTCGCAAGCCATTTAGTAAAATGAGAGAAACCATCTTTAAAAACAAACGTGAACAAAAACAGAAATTCATCCGGTTGTTTTGGGACACTTTATAAGTAACTAAACAAAAAAACCAAAAAAAAACCCATTAACTAATAAATCATTATTATCTCATAAAACCTTTCAAGACACCACCGTGTGTTGTTTTACACAACGACAGAGTTGAACGTTTTCTTTACCTTGTTCTGGACGAGAGCCGTCACTTGTTCCAGGTACTCCAGCAGCTGCCGCTCTCTGTCTCGCGGCTCCTCCCAGCCCGGGTCCAACTCCGCCGCCCGGCTGTGGCTGCAGAGTGCGCAGGCGAACATCTCCTCGTACTGGAAGAGGTTGGCTCTGTTGAAATGCAGCTCCGGGATACAAGGGGCAATTTTATCTGCCTGCTCCTACAGGACGATCAAAGTGACGCATTGGTGGACATGTTCATCTGAAACCTGCAGTGTGTGTGTGTGTGTGTGTGTGTGTGTGTGTGTGTGTGTGTGTGTGGACTCACAGCTTTGGTGTAGGCACTTAAAGCTTGTTGAGAGAAATGTGGATTCTGTCCACAGGTGAAAAACATGGACAAGTAGGCATTTCCAAGAATGTCTGTAAAAATAAGCACAAATAAAACATCAGATCCAATTAAACCGCACAACCTGCGTGTTCTCTTCCTTTGAAGATATTGATATTATATCAGAAAATAATTGGCGATGCAATAATATTCCAAAGGGCTGCGCGTTACATCAGTAATTAGAGCCTCACGAGATTTTCTGTCGCTTTCCTATATCAAGTGTTTTATGGTGTGATCACATTTTTAATCAGTGTTTTGAATAAACGGTGGGATAAAAAAAAAAAAAAACATTTAATCAAACAGAATTTTTTTTCATCTTTTCACTTTTGGAAAAACTTGAACAAAATTACAGCAAGATGTGCTGCAGTTTTACAAAACATTCAATCACTAATTTAAGTAATGAAATATTGGCCTAAAAGTTATTTTTTTAAATTAAGAATAAATAAATAATCTCTGGTAGTTTAGCAAAATAAAGTTCTCACATGGATCCTTTACCGTATTTTCCACCGTACACGGCGCACCAGTTTTACCTATTAATGAGACACTTGGCTTGCCATAAAACTCAACCGCCCTCTAGTGGCTGCTAATGGTAATACTTATTATTTTTCATGTCAAAATGAATGAAATCGTCAGATATCAGCCAAAAATTGGTTTATAAATATGGGAAAAAACGAATATTAGTCTCTTCGGTGTATAACTCGCAGGACTTGCAAATGTATATAAAAAGGTGCGACTTATATGGCGAAAAATACGGTACTTGTGAAACTTTTTAATGCTTCACATATGAACCTAAAATTCTACAACGGACCTTTAGGGCCACGCAAAAAAAATAAAATAATTACATTGCCACGCTAAAGAAAAAAAAAATTAAAGTTAACTAAAGTTAAAGTTAAGTTAGTTAATTACCGTTTAACAAACAATTTTAATTTTACCACTGTTAAAATGCGGTAAACTTTATCGCATTGGAGTTCGGATAATATTACGACTCATTTAGCTTCGGATTGGTCATTTGCTGACACGCCTACTGGATTGATTGACAGGTCGTGTTGTGAATCTGACTCGTGGGGAAAAAAAGAACGACAGCTGTAAAAAAAAAAAAAGTCTCGTACGACTTTATTTTCGTAATTTTATGGCTTTTTAATTTTTTTGTTCTTAGCTTGGCAATGTAATTTATTTTTTTTAGCGTAGCCCTAAAGCTCCGTCGTAAAATTCCCACTAGATTTCATAATTATACATTAAATTTAGTGTAAAACTACATGACATATAATGAAATAAAAAGAAAATCTTAATCTGACGGTTTGGGATCATAGGATGATCTGTCACTCTCTATCTAGGGCTTTAAAATGCATCAAAACTTGATCATTACTGTGGTGTAAACGTGCATCTCAGAGGAGTGTTTGGACTTGGGATTAACGTCTTTGGCGAATCATACGGACTCCCATGACACCGAGTTATGTTGCTAAAACATGCTGAGTGTGGGGAGCACCAAGATGTAGGAGGAAAAGGAGAAAAATGTGACTTTATTGCACTGATACTGTCATTGTGTTTCCACGTTTTGCTAACGTTCAGTCTTGCTGCAAAGCTTTTCTCGTGCTCTACTCACACCACGAAGTCCCATCAGTGACGTCCAGCTGGACAGCCTGCCGGGCCATGTCCACGCTCTCCAGCACCTGTTTGCCTTTCTCATCGCTGCTGGTCACTGGCAGCTGCCTCAGCACCATCGACAGGCTGCGCAGAGACACTTTGTTCTTATTCTGCAAGGACAACAGCGCACAGAGCAGTTACGATGTGAAGCACAATCCTCCAAACAGGGTGAGCCTTCGTCGGCCCTCTACCTGTTGCAAGGCGCCAGTGAAGCAATTTTTAGCCCCCGTCAGGTCTCCTTTTTTCCAGTACTGCTCCCCCAGCGTGTTCCAGGCTTCGATCAGGCCGGGCTCCAGCTTCACGGCACGGGAAAGGCACTCCTCGGCGACAGCACTGAAGTCTGGAGTCACGTTCAGACACCTGCCCTTCAGCAGCAAAAACTCTGCTTTGTGCTTGAAGCGCTCTGGTGGAAGAGAAGAGTCACGGAGGAAGCAAACGCCTGAAGGATACTCTGCACCTTGGACACCAACCGTTTGTTTGAGAAGTACAGCAGCACCCACCTTCTAGCTCCTCCAGCTTGGACAGTGTCCGCTCCATCTCCTGTGCGACATCACTCTGCTTCTGTCCAGCTTCCTCCACACGGTGCGTCTCGAAATAACAATCTCTGAAGGTATACAGTTCATCCACCAGCTCCTGAGTTGGGAGAGTGGGAGTGAGTGAGTAATTAAACGTTACTGCTTATTATTGTTAAATTACAAGTGTTTAAAAGTTACTAGAACCTATGTAATATCGCTAAAATTAGAAACATCTTATCTTAAAATGAAGCAGAAAAACTGGTTTGTGCATTTGTCACGTCTAGACTGGACTATTGCAATGGTTTATTATCTGGGTGTCCAAATATTTCTTTAAAAAGTCTTCAGCTGATCCAAAATGCTGCTGCCAGAGTCTAACTGGAGTTAGTGGGAGAAATATCTCTCCAGTTTTAGCTTCTCTCCATTGGCTCCCTGTCAAATCCAAAACTGAATTCAAAATCTTACTTCTAACCTACAAAGCCCTCAACAACCTAGCTCCATCTTATATTCAAGATCTTATTGTTCCATATTTTCCCAACAGAGCACTTTGCTCTCAGATTGCAGGTTTCCTTGTGGTTCCTAGAGTTTCCGAGAGCAGAATGGGAGGAAGATATTTCAGTTCTCAGGCTCCTCTCTTGTGGAACCAACGTCCAGTTTCTGTCTGTGAGGCTGACACGTTGTCCAGTTTTAAAACTAGGCTTGACTTTCCTATTTGATAAATCCTATAGTTAGGGTTGGCTTGTTATGCTGCTATAGGCTTAGACCATTGGAAGACAAATTGACCTACTTTCTTAAAATTAATTGTTACAAATGAATAGTTTTCATTTGTAACATTTCGTTACAAACAAAGATGTATGCATGGTAAGATGTATGGTGGCGCTGAAGTAAAAGTTGTAACAATATTTATGTTAGACACAGAAAACACGTCTCACAAAGCACTCCAATAAAACGGTGTATTTTATGAATTATTAAAACAAAACTAAAAGTTATTTAAAGACGTTCTGAATGCAGCTGCTGCTCACATTTTCAGTAATAATCTAAGTTTAAAAAAAATGCATTTTGATGTGTGAAGGTGCAAAAGAGAAACAAGATCAGAGAAATGTTGAAGCAGCAGCCAGTGGTTTGTTATGGTCACCATAGCAACAACATGCTTGTCTATCTGTCTCTCTTACTCCCTGACTGCAAACATAAGAAATAGACAGAAACAGACTGAAAAGTAAGCCTCAGAGGTATCCAAGTGGCAGCCTATGCAGAGAAAATAAAGAGGACTGAGAATAGGGCCCTGTGGCACACCACAAGAAAGAGAAGCAGTAGAGGAAGCCAGATTACCCAACATGATAGAGAAAGTTTTATTGGTCAAGTAGGAGGTGAACCACATGAGTCGTCGTGCAAAAGCTACACATCAGATCTTACAAATTTCTGAACCGTGAGCAGTGGAGGAGTCTTATAGCCGGATGAATGTTTATCTTTTACAGTGTTTTCTGTAGCAGGAATGATAAGTTAAAATAACTCCAATTTCCAGTTTTAAAAATAACATTTTGAGCTGAAATGTACAAACGCTTTGCTGTGAGCTCTTTGTATTCTGGGATGGTTTAAGAAAACAGGTTTTAGAGCAGTGAGGGACACACTGGGTGATAAAAAGACAAAAATGACCATGTTTTGGTGTATATTTGATTTATGCGCCATAAAAAGTTGCGTAAGTAAAAATGGTTTGCTTGCAGGTGAGGCATCCACTGTCAGTTGAACATTTTGCAGAAAAAAACCCCATAAAACTCAAAATGTGATTGTGTAAAAAAAACTATAAAAGATATCAAAATATCGGTTCAGACATATAAAGTTCAACTTTCTGTGACACGTTACAACTTTGAATGATATCCTGATGCATGCTTGTCAATAATCCAGGTAGAAAAATCTAAAAAAGTTAATTCTGGTCTGGACTTTTTTGTTGTTGTTGTTGCTTTGTTTTGTTTTTTGAATGTCCAGAGGACCAGACTTAACTTTTTAAAACTTTGAATGATGTTTCCCCTGTGGAGTGCGTCCGAGCCACACAGCATCAAATAGCAGCCTTCTCATGTGTTTCACCATATTCCCCTTGACAACCCTTTTTTTTTTCTCTCCTGAGATTTTTGTACATTTTGTCCACACAGTGTGGCATACTGCTCCTAAAACTCACAACACACACACAAAGAAGCCACACGGTTTGATGTTTAATTTGTGGTTTCACTTTCAAAGCTGCAAACAGGATAAAAGATTTGAAGGAATAGTCAAGAGTGACACAAAGCCCTTTGGACAGGCATCTCAATAAAAACTAAACATGCATACAAAAGTCTCAAGTTACCTCATATAATATATTGTGCTTCCAAACACATAAATGTTCTTGTATTATTTTAAAGGGATCAGTTTTTTTTAGACTTCCTGATGGCCTTTAATTTTTTTCTTTTGACTTTGGCTACTTTTCCTCTGACCATTTGTCAAGGGATTTTTGAAGTTATTTATTAAATAACTTAGCTCTGACCTAGAAATTATTCAGTCATATTTAGGCAAATATCAAGGCTTGATAAGTGCAAGAACTAGAGGAAAAAACAAACAAAAAAATATTTCAATTACGTTTTTGGAGCAGATGATTAACATAAAAAAATCCAAAAGTGTCTGAATCAGAGTGAGGGTTAAAGGAGGAGCAGCTCGGCTAACAGGCTAGTAAAGAACCCGTGGTATATCTAACCACAGGTTAATAAACACAAAAGATGATGGTGATTTAGCATCACCATTACGCAGCTACTTTTTAACCAAGAGAAGCAACACAGAAAACTAACCTCAAGCCATTACATACAACGATAGGAGACGCAATAACTGAGAAATGCTGTTCATAAAACTTACCTTCATAACCTGCAGCTCGTTTTTGTCTTTTCCAGGCTCACCGGCGCTGTCGTCTTTCTCAGCCATCTTCGCTAACTAGAGCCGAAAACCCGGCTGGAGCAACAGTCGAATAAGAACCAAATGTTCCCAAATGTCAAATAACAGCTAAATGTAAGACTCTACTGCCAATGCATTTATTTATTTTTTTTGTTTTTTTTATAGGAGGACCAAGAATGTTATCCGTTTTAGCACAAAGCGGAAAATTGCTTTTATTTTCCAGCGACACCGGAAATCGCATTAGTCCGTCTATAAAATCAATCCGACAAATGATTATCTTAAATTGTTTGCTTCAATCTAATTAAAGGTTTAACTACGTTATTTATAATATGATTATATCTGGTTGTTTATTTAGAAACTGTAACAATTAATATCAGCTACTGATAAAGAATCGTTTTTATTCCGGAACGTTTAGTTGCACTCGAGATGCCAGCCGACGCTTTTTTTGTTGCGGACCACACATACTTTGTTCCTCCGAGCGCCTATAGTTTTCAATTCGTGTTTTGGAAACTCGACTTACTGTAAAAGCGGCGTTTGTGTTTGCGGCCTTGTGTATTTCAGCTCGTCATGTCGGATACTTGGAGCAACATCCAGGCGCACAAGAAGCAGCTGGACTCCCTGCGGGAGAGGCTGCAGCGGCGGCGGAAAGACCCTGCGCAGCTGACCACCATGGCGGGTGAGTCCAGGACGAGGACCCAGCGACCGGTGGCTGTGTGGCTACCTCAGAGTTAACACATTTGTTGTCTTTTATCTGATGTGTAATCGCAGACGAACTCAGTAAAAAGTAGGAAGTGGGATTTTAAATGTACTCACTTTCACTGGATGCTGTTGAGAGTTTTGATGTGCAGAATTAATGCTTGTATATAATGTTTCTAAACTTTAATATGGTTTTAATTAAATTGTTTGAAAATATAACCCCTTACTTTCTGTCACGACTAACTGAAAAAAATAACGTGTGTTTCCAACTTTTTAATATTTCATAAAGAAAACAATCTGTTATCACACTAGTTCTCAGCACCGGTACACCTCAGGGCTGTGTCCTTAGTCCACTTGTACTCACACATGACTGTCCACCAAGCACAGCTCAACAGTTTGCACTATGTGGCTGTATCATGCATATGGTATGAGATATGTCATATCTTATGCCGTATATACCATCTATCATGTATGCCACTACGTTACCATCATAATTCCATTAATCAGTATTACTGTGCAAAAATCTGTGTAGTTTATGTTAGTTATGTGCAATATATATCATGTGCATTTAAGCATATATTACCAGCTATTAAATACTTATTCATCCTATTTGCACTGTTATATTCTACCATTTACTATATTTCTTTTGGATCTTGTAAATATTATATTTCCTTTTAACTTTAACTCTTATAATGAGGTTAATACCATTCAAAAACAAATAAGTTTATTTTTTATATAAATAAATTAATATCATGTGCATGTAACATCAACGATCCATTATCTTTTACCCGCTTTTTCCATTTTGAGTCACTGGAGTCGCCGGTGCCCATGTCCAGCAATCACTGTGCGAGGGGCGGGGTACACCCTGGACGGGTCTCAAGTCCATCACATGGCCACATAGAGTGCATGAAACAACTGTATTTTTTTTTCATTTGCAATAACTTCAGGGTATTTGAAATAAAAGTCAGAAATCTGAGATTTTGTAGGGTGGTTTAAATTTTTACAAAAATCCTGCTTATTATATGTTAAAATCCGTTTTACTAAAATGTTGTCAGTTTACAGGGGTTTGTCTACATATCCCTGGGAATCTACAGTTGTTGGGTACGTTCCGTTTGAGTCAGCTGGGCTGTGACTTGGGTAGAAGTGATGACGAGAGGAGAAGGGAAGCTCCTCTTTATTTTTTTTTTTTCAAAAAAGAAGGGAGGCTTCTCTTAAACAGAGCAAAGCGTTAAATTAGTGACGACCTATCAGTGACCAATTAGCCCTTTAACGTGACTGAAAGAAGTGGATGTTTGATTGTCCTTAGGAACGATGCGTTCACTGACCAGAAAATATATTATTTTTCAGTGTCAGATTGACTGGTCAATAATCAAGCCTAAAATTAAACAATTCCAGTCATTAGCTGAATAAATTGTCCACCCTACAGTTATAAAAGTACACATTAAACTCATATTCATTTTGAGGCATTTTAAAGTAGTTTAAATCTCAACAATCTCCGTCTCAGTTTTTTTTTTCTTCTATGACTTAAAAGTCGTGTAATGCACTATGTGGACATTTTCTCTGAACTAACTCATCACTTCGCAGATGGTGGGAGCAGCGGTGAAGGTTCAGCAGCCAGGAGTGACAGTCCGACTCCGTCAGCTCCGCTCGCTTCTCAAGAGGAGACGGAAAAACCACCAGACCCAGAGCTAGAGAAGAGCCTGCTGGGATATCTGTCTGATCTGAGTCTCTCCCTGCCAACAGAGTCTCTCGCCATCACAAATGAGCTCGGCCGTGTAAGTCTGCTTCAGCGTGAAACACAAGGCTGTTCATCTCGTTGTTTTCCTGATTTTATGTCTCCCCGTGTTCACAGTCTGAAGGTCCCGTCAGTCATGGATGCATCCAGAGCCTGCTGCTTAAATTCTCAGCTCAGGAGCTCATCGAGGTTCGACAGGCTTCCTCTTCTTCCTCCTCCTCCACAGTTGTAGTATCTGTGGACCACACAAAACTCTGGGCCATGATTGGGTCGGTGGCTGGAGCCCAAAGAACTGGAGTCAAGAGGAAAGCTGAGGAGCAGACCCTCGGCAAAAGAGCCGGCGGCTTCTCGCCCTCGCTTCAGAGCTCGGCTTCTCCGCCCCACTCCACCTCCTCTCTGACTCCGGCCTCCTCGTCTCAGCTCGCTTCTTCTTCTTCAGGGAGCGCAGCTGAGAAGAAGGGCAGGATCAGCAAAAGCCAGTCGTCTCATTTGGACATGGAGATTGAGAGCCTCCTGAACCAGCAGTCCACCAAGGAGGAGCAGAGCAAAAAGGTGAGAAGAGTCGTTCAGAGCGTTCAGCCGTCTGAACGGAGGATGATCGATGCGGCGCCACGAGCATGTTTGTTTTATTTTTTATTTTCAGATGAGTCAAGAGATCCTGGATCTGCTGAACACCAGCACGGCCAAGGAGCAGTCCATCGTGGAAAAGTTCCGCTCTCGTGGCCGAGCGCAGGTCCAGGAGTTCTGCGACCACGGGACCAAAGAGGAGTGCGTCCAGTCTGGAGACGCTCCTCAGCCGTGCACGAAGCTGCACTTCCGGTAAGCTCTTGTTTTACAGAAACATCTAGTGCGGGACTTTTTTTATGATCACTGTCAAACTTAAAAAAATTGGGTAATTGTTGTTGTTTTGTTTGGTCTGCATAGTTTTTTATCGTCTGCCCAAAATATAACTAAACTAAAGAGTCACGTAAACGCAACAATCAGATGCTGCTGCTTTCAGCTGAGGTGAGAGTCTAAAATGGAGGACGTCCTCTCTAAAAGGAACATTCAGACAGTAATACAGTAGTTCCTTGTTTGTTTATTGTGGGTGTTAGGTTCCAACCCCCCCCCCCCCCCCCGGCAATACGTGAAAATTCGCCAAGTAGTGCCATTATATTTATTTTAGTAAAGGCTTTATAAACCTTTCCCACACTCTTGCAATGTTCTAAACTCTTAAACCAGCTTCATTTTAACAACATACGTATATGTAGCTATTAAATTTTTCTTACCAGTGCGTCCCTGCACGGAGGTCCACGTGGACCGGCTGAAAGAGATGAAAAAAGTCCCGGTGGGCTCCAGATGGAGCGCCGGACCTTCGGTGGTGCGCATCCCCACCTGGAAGTCCTCCTGGGCCGGCTAGGAGCGCTTAGGTTCACGCTGAGTCTGAGGGTCTGGTTCTAGTCTGGTCCATTGCCGTCTTTGAGCGCCGAAGCGCATTTTGGTGTGGGCAGACCTTCAGGTGGCCGGTGCGGACCAGATGTGGTCAATTGAGTCCAAGTCTGGATGAAAAATGTCCCGATGGGCTCCAGAAACAGCCCTGGACTTCGGCGGCGTGCTTCCTGCTTGGAAGTCCTCGTGAGCTGGCTAGGAGCTCTCAAGATTCACTGATGGGTCTGGTTCTGTTCCGGTTCTGCTCCGGTTCAGAGAGTTCTGTGCAGCTCCTTGCATCCGCTGAGCGCTGAAGTCACTGTAATGAGTGCCAAAGTTTTTCCGACCAGATCAAAACTTTCCCTCTAGTATTTCAGCAGAAAGAAACGGGGCTTCTGGGTGGGGCTCTTTTGGCTTCTGGGAAATGTAGTCGTTATAAGCGGGAATACAGTGTAGGCTTATTGAGAGAAAACTACAAAATGGAGGCGCCTGTTTGAAATATATATTTTTTTGTTAACTTATTACTGTACAGTACAGTCCTAATCATGTGAATAATATTAAAGTAGGCCTGTCACAAGAACAAGTTTTGCAGGGCGATTAATTGATTTATTGTTTATCGCGACAGGTCTATATTAAAGGTGACACTCGTGTCCTGTACAAATTTTTTAAAATATATATATTAATACGCGATGACAAACCGCGATATAGCGAGTCTGTGAACGTCGAACCGCAAAGTAGCGAGGAACTATTGTACATGTTTTTATACCATCTTAGCACGACTACTGCAACGTGCTTCTGTTTAGAATTAGTCCGGCCTCGATTTCTCGTGTTTTAGAGCACAGACAACAAAAGAGAACACTTTTCCTCAGCTCTGACTTCCCTGCATCCACTTCCAAATACTTCTACTTCTTTAGTACTAACAGTTCTGCTCCTTCTCGTCTCTCACCTGTACCTCCGCTCTGCTGAAGGAGTTACGTAAACCAATTAATTGTAGACATTAATGGTTCCAGTTACCCATGTCGTCTTTACTTTTAAAAATCTTTCAACGGTTTTGCATTTTGTACTATAATTGAGAAATACCCATTTTGGTCAGAAGATGGCAGCATAGTTCAAATGAGGTCAGCAATAGACAGTTTTTGTAAAGTAAAAAAACAAATCAGCAAAACTTCTTAAAAATAAGTTAAAGTTGAAGTCGGCCAACAAACCAGTAAAACCAGCTCTGGACCATTAATGCTGCTGTTCTTTTCATAAACGGATCATAATAAATAGTTGATTTAGTTTTTACGGCGACAAGATTGTTGTGTAGTAAACTGACGTAAAAGAGACGTGAAAAGAAAACTCCCCGCTCAGCGGGAGAGAAAGAAGGAGCCGTGAGAGTTCGCAGCCTCGACTCGCTTCTGCTCATTTCAGTTTTATAATTCGACATTTTTAACGGCAAAGCACAGATCTTTGTAATACCACACCTCCTCCCTCGGCGTCCTGTCATGTGCTTTTTATAAATCCACAAAGACGTAGTTCTTTCTGACCCTCTCTGTACTTCTCCATCAGCATCCTCAAAGCAAAGATGGTGTCTCTGCATGTAGCTTCCACAACTCTCTCCCAGATCTTCGTTGTGTGGTTTTATGAACATAACTTCCACAAAACAAAAAGATGAAATGATTCTTGTTTATTAAAGTTACTCATAAAGGCTACTTATGTTATTGTCTAAAGCTTGTTCTCGTTTTGAGTAAGATCTTCATACGTGTTGGATGTTCTCAGTGTCGGTGAGTGTAAAGAAACGGAAAGGTCAGCAGAAAACAGAACAGTAGGATCACTCTTTATTTATCTCACAGTGGGAGAAACTGTTGAGCTGCAGTTTTTACACATATTTGCTCTCAACGGTTCATCGTCTCGCTCACTGGACTTCTAATGGGGAAATCGTTTCCCAGAATAACCCGTTTAATTGGACCTTCTCCTCCCAGCCGCTCTCCTGGAAACATGGAGTCCAACTACAAACAGGCTGTGTTGTCCTCGTTAGTCGTCAAACCTGCTGTCTGGAATAGTTTGTTTAATTATTATTATTATTTTTTTTAAGTCAAAGATTATTATAGAATGTTAAAGATTTATGGATTTTTAAATGCATGGTATTGGTGCAACTTTAGCGTTTTGAAATGTTTAGCCTTTTCTACCATTTTATTTCCTCATAGGAAATGAGTTGAGCTCATTTTCCGTCCTTCAAATCTTCCCATGTGTTGACAAGCTTTTACTGCTCCTTTCACTTTTTGTTCTGGTTCGGCTTCTTTCAGCTTCCTTGTGCAAATTTAAATATTTCAGCTGTTTATTCAGCTGTTCTGTGCTTCGTTCAGATTCTTTCTGCTAATTTCAACTCCTTTCAGCTTATTTCTGCAAGTTTCAGCATTTTCTGCTATTTCAGCTACTATTTAGCAGTTTTTATGCAAATTTGAGCTTTTTCGGCTATTTCCACATTTTTTTGCACTCTTTTAAACTTTTTTTGGCCTCATTCAGCTTCCTTCATGTAATTTAAGCTTGTTTCTGCTGTTTTAGCAACTTTTCAGCTGTTTTGGGGTTTTTTTGTGCTAATTTCAGCTTTTGCTAGTTAATTTCCACTTTTTGTGCTAAATTCTGCTTCTTTCAGCTGAATTGGGCAAAACTGTGTTCTCCCAACTTACTTCTGCTAATTTCAGCTTGTTCTACATTTTCAGTTAACGTTTGAGCACTTTTTAGCTAATGTCAGCTGTTTTCAGATAGATTCAAGTTTGTCGAGGTAATTTCGGCTGCTTCCAGACTAAATATGCTGCTAATTTCAGCTTTTTGTGCTCCTTTCAATTTACAGTATTTCTGCAAGTTTCAGCTTTTTTCTGCAATTTCAGCTACTTTTTAGCTGTTTGTGTGCTAAATGTAGCTTTTTCAGCTAAATCCACATTTTTTTTTATTCATTTCAGCTCCTTCCACTTCCTTCTGGTAGTTTCAGCTTCTTTCTGCCTTTTCAACTACTTTTCAGCTATTTTTTTTTTAGCTAATTTCAGCTGTTTTTCAGCAAGTTCTTCAGCAATAAGCTTCCATGCTGCATTTTTGCAGGACATGCAACTTCTCTAGTTTTACTTTGTGTTTTCTGATTTTCCTCGTCCAGCCGTATCATCAACAAGCACACAGACGAGAGCCTCGGTGACTGCTCCTTCCTCAACACCTGCTTCCACATGGACACCTGTAAGTACGTGCACTATGAGATCGACAGCCCCCCCGAGGCTGAAGGCAACCTGCTGGGGAGCCCGGCAGGGGCCACTGATCTCGGCCTCCACGCTACGGACACAGACAGCAACGTGGGCACACTCTTCCCTTCGCAGGTGAGCAAGAAGATGATTAAAAAAGTCGTGCCTTTCGTTTTGACGAAACTCTGATTTTCGCTTTGATTCTCAGTGGATCTGCTGTGACATCCGCTACCTGGACGTGTCCATCCTGGGTAAGTTTGCCGTAGTGATGGCCGACCCTCCCTGGGATATTCACATGGAGCTGCCGTACGGTACTCTGACTGACGAGGAGATGAGACAACTGAGCATTCCCGCCCTGCAGGACGATGGTTTCCTCTTCCTCTGGGTCACTGGGAGGTAAATAAAATGAGAGAAATTGCATTTCCTGCGAGAAGGCAGTGTGAATGCTCATTGCAGAAAAACTTGCTGAAAAGCAGCTGAAATATTGCTGAAATGGAAGAACTAAATTAGAAGAAGAAATCAGAAAGAACACATATTCGCTGAGTTAGGTTTAAATAAGTAGAAATGAGCATAAAAATGAGGAAATTAGCTAAGAAAGCTAAAATTAGCACATACACAAAAAACACACACATCTAAATAGTAGCCGAAAAGGCAGAAAGAAGCTTAACGTATGAGAAGGAAGTGGAAAGAGCTGAAATAAGCTAAAAAACATTGTGGAATTAGTTGAAAGAGCTAAAATTAGTAAACAAACAGCTAAATAGTACCTGAAATAGCAGAAAAAGCTGAAAGGAGCATAACAAGATGAAATTAGCAGAAGGGAGTTAATTAGGCTGTAAGTAGCAGAAGTTACCACAAAAAACGTTAATTTATCAGAAAACAGCTGAAATTAGCTTAAAAAAATGCTAAAAAATTTAGCTGAAAAAGTAGCACTAGCTTAAATCAGCAGAAGAAAGCAGAAAGAATGTTTGCCAAATTGGGCTGAAAAAAACCGAAATTAGCACAAAAAGTAGAAATTACCTGAAAATAACATATATTGAAAAAAAAACCCAGCTGAAAAGTAGCTAAAATTAGAAAGAAGCTGAAATTACAAGAAAGAAGTGGAGAGAGCAGATTTTTGCTGAATTAGACTGAAAAAAGTTTAAAAGAGTACATAAAATGTGGAATTAGTTGAAAAAGCTAAAATTTGTATAGAAACAGCAGCCGAAATAGCAGAAAAGGCTGAAACTGAAATCTCTCCAGGAGCTTCTGGACCTCCATGCTCCCTTTAAAGCAAGGCTGGTGTCTTTCTCCCGTTCAGCCCCTTGGTACACTGCTGAGCTGCGCAAGATGAAAGCAGCTGGCCGTGCTATTGAGAGACGTGTAAAATCATCTGGTCTCTCTGTACATCAGCAGGCATATAAAGAACATCAGAAAGCCTACGCCTTTTCTCTTAAAGAAGCACGGTCCAAATATTATTCCAACATCATCAACAACTGCCCTGGAAACTCTAAACAACTCTTCTCCACAATAAATCATCTCCTTAATCCCATTAAACAATCTCATGAGGACTCTGTTCAAAAATGCAACCTGTTCCTTTCATTTTTTAAAAACAAAGTTAACTCCATTAGATCTCAGCTCCATAGCCTCCCTGATCTTCATCTGCCATCTACCCGTCTGCATTCTGGGTCCCTGAGCTGCTTTGATGACGTTGTTCTGAGTGAAGTGGAGACCATCATCATGAAAATGAAGCCTTCATCCTGCGCCCTGGATCCCTTCCCCTCGTCTCTCATTAAATCCAATCACTCTGCAATAAGCCCATTAATCACACATATAATAAATAAGTCACTGCAATCTGGTCAAGTTCCACTGCCTCTTAAAACTGCCATCATTAGGCCTCTTCTGAAAAAATCTAATTTGGATCCAGACATTCTTTCTAATTACCGCCCAATTTCTCACCTCCCATTTCTGTCAAAAGTGCTGGAAAAAGCAGTTGCTGCTCAGCTGCAGATCCACCTAAAACAACACTCCCTGTATGAGAAGTTTCAGTCTGGCTTCCGTGCAGCTCACAGTACTGAGACCGCACTGCTGAGAGTCACCAATGATGTCTTCATGGCTGCTGACACTGGTTCTCCCTCCCTCCTTGTTCTCCTTGACCTCACTGCAGCTTTCGACACTGTGGACCACAGTATCCTCCTCCACCGTCTTCATGTGGAGGTCGGTCTCTGTGACACTGTCCTGGACTGGTTTAAATCTTTCCTCTCCAATAGGCTGGAATGTGTTAGTCTTGGCAATGCCAAGTCCCAGACTGTCTGTGTCTCCTGTGGTGTCCCTCAAGGGTCAGTTTTAGGGCCCCTGCTATTTTCCCTTTACATGTTGCCTTTAGGTCAAATTATTAATCAGTACAACATTTCTTTTCACTGTTATGCCGACGATACACAGCTTTACATCAGGACCGGAGCATCATCTTCACCACTGTCATCTCCATCTTCACTCGCTGCCCTCTCTACCTGCCTGGAGGAGATAAGGGCATGGATGAATCAGAACTTTCTTCAGTTAAACTGCTCCAAAACAGAGGCCATACTGATTGGCACCCCTCACCAGGTTCAAACTTCAACTATAACGACTATTTCATTTTCCGGACAAGACATCCCCCTCTCCACCACCTCTGTTACAAATCTTGGAATAAAAATGGACACTCATCTTACATTTGAAAATCACATTAAGCATCTGTTTAAAACCTGTTTCTTCCATCTTCGAAATATCTCCAAACTGCGCCCATCTCTCACTTTTGCTGATGCAGAGAAACTCGTCCATGCTTTTGTCTCCTCCAGGCTCGACTACTGCAACTCCCTGTTTACTGGAATACCCGGCAAAAACCTTCAGAAGCTTCAATATATTCAAAACAGTGCAGCCAGGATTTTATTGAGAGCTCGTAAATTTGAACATATTACACCCATTCTCCATAACCTCCATTGGCTTCCTGACACCTACAGAATTCAGTACAAAATTGCTCTCATTACCCATCAGTGTTTATATGGAACTTCACCAGATTATCTGAAGGACCTTCTTGCTCCATATTCATCCACCCGGTCCCTACGATCACAGAACAGTCATCTCCTCCACCTGCCACGAACTAAATTAAGAACCATGGGAGATCGGGCATTCTGTGTGGCTGCCCCCCGCCTCTGGAACTCCCTCCCTGAATATCTGAGAGCTCCACAATCATTGACTGACTTTAAAAAAGGCTTAAAGACTTTTCTTTTTAAGCAGGCCTATTCTGTCTCCACATGATTGTATCATTGATTTTAGTTGTTTGTATCATTGATTTTAGTTGATTTTATCACAGATTTTAGTTGATTTTATCATTGATTTTAGTTGCACTCTGTAGCACTTTGAGATTTTTGTTAATGAAAAGTGCGTTACAAATTAAATTCATTATTATTATTATTAAACGTGCATTAATAAGCTGAAAAGAGCATAATAAACTGAAATTTGCAGAAAGTAATTGGAAGACGCACAAAAAAGTTGTCGTTAGCAGAAAGAAAGCTGAAATGATCAAAAAACAGCTGAAAGTAGCTGAAAAAAGTTTGAGTTTGCACAAAGAAATCTGCTTCATTCGTTAAGCGACTTGTTGATGTATAAACAGACAGCCGTCAGTTTGATCATCAGCTCTGGAGCCTCGTTAAGTCAGAAGTCTGTTCTATTTTTCACCAGTTCACCTGCTCTCAAATTTAACTTTAGTTGTTTATAAGGATGAACCAAGTGCTTGGCAGGTGGCTGGGATTAAACCTTTTTTTTAGTGTCACGAGTTTCAACCATTAATTGGCTGTTAGACATTCCCCAGTTTAGTTCAGGCGCACGTATGTCAAACCCAAGGCCCGTGGGCCAAATCTGGTCCTTGTTAACATCTTATCTGGCCCCAAAGATATGTTAAATGTAAAATATTTTTATCGCCTCTCGTTTTGCTTTGTCAATAAACCAGGTGTCTGTAGTGGTGATACATGAACAGGCCACCAGCTTTAAAGAAAAATGAAGCCTGATCAAAAGTTCTCCTCAGCAACAGCTAAGAATGATAATGTGTAACCAAAGTTTTACTGTTTTAATAATGTGTAACCAAAGTTTTACTGTTTTAAAAAAACAAACTGAGCATGCATCATTTAACGCAGACTTTCCAAAACAAGTGGCCAGCTTTGAAGCCAAAAACTGTTTATGGAAAGAGCAACAGAGAACGTCCAACTGGACCGAGAAGACGTCGAGTGTGTGACGTGTGTTGATGTACCGACTCAAGTCGGCTCGTGTCCGTGTGGATCAGCGTTTTGCGTTCGTCTCCTCTTTGTAACCGAGTTTGACGGCCTGATTTAGGGGAGCGCCTGCTGCTCGCTTCACCGCTCAGGAAAACGACCAGCTGCCGCTCAAACACAAGTTCAGCTGCTGTTGTGACGTAACCAGAGGCCAAATGTAAACAGAAAATTATAGTCTTTTATAGTTACAATAAAAGATATTATTTAGTACTTTAACACTAAAACAGAGTTTGTTTTCTTGGTACAACCTGGTGCTGTTTTGGAGAAAGAATAAACATTTGTTTACAGTAAACGTTATGAATGTTTTCTGTTTGATGCGTACTCATTTATTAAGAAAAGATGTGAAGGAGCTCATTCACTGTGTTTCTTAGTCAGGAGGTCCAACTTTGAAAGTTGAAATTGTGACTTTGTATCTCATAATTATGACATACCAATGGACGTTTTATTTATTTTCGAAGGCATAAACGGGCTTTCTTAAATATGCATTCAAATGTTCACGTATTTTTACCAGATCTGCCGTATTTTTCGCAGTGTAAGTTGCAAGTTTTTTTTTTTTTTTTACATAATTTACATGCCCTGCGACTTATAGGCTGAAGCAACATATTTATGGATTTTTTCCCATATTTATAAACCAATTTTTGGCTGCGATATGACGTTTTCATTCATTCTGACTGAAAAAAAAAGAAGAGCAGTACCACATTCAGCCACTTGATGGCAGCAGAGTAGTAGTTGTGTAGCATACATACAAACGTGGCTATGCTGACAAATTCAAAAAAGTTCAAGACAAAAACAACTGGACTTATTTATTATACTTTATACTTTATTGTTTTTTTTCTTGAACTTTTTTGAATTTACCATGTCCTGAGAATCTTCACCATCTATTAATGACACAATCGGCCTGCCATAATCTCCCTGCCTTCATTCTGCTCGTTGCTTGGAACTGTCAAAACAGCTGCACCGCCGCGGAGAAATGCAGCTAATTTGACCATTAAAGTGCATTTATTAAGCAAATGTTAGATTGAGACACACCTTTACTATAATTTCGAGCAAACAAATAATAGTTTATAAGTCTTATTCTTGTTAAATTCTTGTTAAAGTCCTCCTGTGCACGCTTCCGCAGCCGCCATTTGGCAGCCCGTTGATTTTTGGCACAACACCGGCCCACATTTCCGGGTTGTCAGCGGTGACGCATGATAGATGCGACGTATACGGCGAAGCGACATATTTATGGATTTTTCCACTTTATTAGACAAATATGGACTGATGCGACTTATAGGCTGGTGCAACGTGTATGACGGAAAATATGGTACTTTTGCTGTGCTTTCAATTATAGTTTTTAAAGAGAACATTTGAACCGACTAAACGGAGCTTCACAAAAATTGGAATTGGCCTAAAGAAACTGGGATCGGTGCATCTTTGAATTTTTTAACTACAAATAAAACAGACTTGTTTAAATACACGCAGTCTTAAATGTTTTAACGTGAGCCATGCGAGAGCGGACAGAGTGCGTGTCGGCTACTGCCACATCAAATTTTCCTCAACGTGCGAGTAGCTTCTCGTCGTTATCGAGCAGTGAAAATCTCGTTTAGATATTTGTCCGCATCATTTCTGTGTTTATTCGTGTTCATGATCAGTTCTCTTACCGAGCCTCTCCGTTCTCTCACAGGGCCATGGAGCTGGGCCGAGAGTGTCTCAGCCTGTGGGGGTAAGTTTATCTTTAATGTTTACAGCCGTGGTTCTGGTTTAGATTAGATTTATCGGCTGCTTTTGACACAGTGGACCATAGCATTTTACTTTGTCATTATAAACAGTGGGGGGTGGGGTCAGCAATACAGAACTGGACTGGTTTAGCTCCTACTTAGCTGAACGTACTTTCTGTGTCTGCCTTGGTGACCACGTGTCCTCTGCTCCTCTTTTGTGTGGGGTTCCACAGGGCTCAGTCTTAGGCCCCCTCCTCTTCATTCTGTACCTGCTCCCTCTTGGCTCTATTTTTAGAAAATATGGGCTCTCCTTTCATTGTTACGTGGATGATACACAAATATATAGCCCACTAAAGTAACTCTCTGGCCTCTGTTTTCATGTTTGGAGGATATAAAAGTCTGGATGGCTGTGAACTTCTTAAAGTTTAATGAGGAAAAGACTGAGTTGATGGTCTTTGGAAGCGCCACTGAGACTCCCAATGTAGATGTTGATTCCTTGGCCCAGTATATCAGGCCAACCATTACAAAACTAGTGGATGCTGGACTAAAGTTAGAAAGCCACATTAGAGCTGTTGTTAAATTTATTTTTTTTTCCCCCATCGGAGGCAGCTGGCTAAAGTAAAGCCGATTCTTTCTCTGAGGCATTTCGAAACAGTAGTTCACGCCCTTGTGACCACTCGGCTGGATTACGGTAACACACTCTATACAGGAATCACTGATTCATGTATCTGTCAGCTTCAGAGGGTACAGAATGCTGCTGCACGGCTTTATACTGGCACACAAAAGTTTGACCACATTTACCCCGCTTTAGCCTCCCTGCACTGGCTGCCCGTACATTTTAGGATTCATTTTAACTTTTAAACCTCTTAATGGATTTGCCGCGCCCTATCTGTCCGAGTTGCTACATCCATACACACCCTCTCGATCCCTCAGGTCATGTGATCAGCTGCTCCTGACCGTGCCGAAGACGAAGCGTAAGCTCAGAGGAGACCGTGCCTTTGCTGCGGTAGCTCCTAAACTGGAACGACCTTCCCTTGAACATCAGACAGGCCTCGTTCCTGTCTGTTTTTAAATCTCTTCTTAAAACTCAATCTCTTCTCCCTGACCTTTGACACCATCTGAAATTTAGACTTTTAATCATATTAATCGTTCTTTATTGTCCGATGGTTTTATGTGTACATCACTTTGATCCTTTGGGTGTTTAAAGTGCTCTATAAATAAAGCTGGTATGGTATGGTTTTGCGTTAACGTTAGCCTCTTGTTATTCTGGTTCTTTTCTCTCCCAGCTACGAGCGTATTGATGAAATCATTTGGGTGAAAACCAACCAGCTTCAGAGGATCATCCGGACTGGCAGGACTGGTCACTGGCTGAACCACGGGAAGGAGCACTGTTTGGTACTTTTGAATCTGTTTCTATCATTCCTGCTCGTTAAACAGTCTTTTCATGCAGAGTTTTTATTGTCTCACTTTTTGTGAGTGTTTAAAAAAAAAAAAAGCTCTGTGTTTGTCTTCAGGTGGGCGTGAAGGGAAACACTCAGGGGTTCAACAGAGGCCTGGATTGTGATGTCATTGTGGCTGAGGTAAAGTACTATTTATATCTTCTTGGCACATTATCTGTAATGTTCGCAGCTTCTTGAGTGTCTGCACACGCTGCCTCAGGTCCGCTCCACCAGTCACAAACCTGACGAGATCTACGGCATGATAGAGCGGCTGTCTCCCGGCTCCAGGAAGATCGAGCTCTTTGGGCGACCTCACAATGTCCAACCCAACTGGTAACACGCTTTAAAGTAAAACTCTGTTTAAAACAGCTGTTTGTGTTTCAAAATGTCATTTTTTGCCTCTTTGAATTCTCCATCTAGGATAACTCTAGGCAACCAGCTGGACGGCATTCACCTCCTGGATCCTGAGGTTGTAGCGCGCTTTAAGAACCGATATCCAAATGGAGTCATCTCCAAACCTTAAGACGCATATTGATGATGTCAGTGGTGACATCACATGCATGAGGTTTGTTTTTGGACTGCTTTTGTACCTGTGAATACTTTTGAATAAATATTTTTAACGAAACACATTGTCCGTGTCTTTGTTAAAGTGGGGTTCTGTTGAGAATAGTGAATGTCTTACTTGTTGTAGATGGCTCTTTGAACTGCGTTCGTTTGGAGAAACATGTCGATTCCGACTGAGTTGACGAGCTAATGGCTAGTCTGACCAAAGTGGATTGCTGTTAAAACGTCTTAAATCTAAAAAACAAAATTTTATTGCGGTTCATAAAGACACTTTTTCGTTTCCATCAGTTTCACATTATCCTTTTAATTACAGCTGAAAAATGAAATTCCTGCCTGAAGTGCTACAGCTAGCTGCTGCTGCCAATATTTACATTAGCAACTAATAGAAGAATTTCAAGCAAATAATCTTGAAATTTTAAGATGACAAGATAAAAGTTTATTTAATAGAAAAAGCACAAACTGCTATGAAGTTTGAGTAAAAATCCATTTTGGTCTTATTCAGACTAGCCGTTAGCTCATCAGTTTATTTTTATCTACAGCAGGTAAGATACTGTTTCCCTAAGATAAACTCAGCAGAAAGACGTACCGTGTTTTTCGGACTTTAAGGCGCACCAGATTATAAGGCTCACTGTCGATTTTTGAGAAAAAGGATTTTAAATGCGCCTTATAGTCCGAAAAATACGGTATATCTTGTGAGTGAAATCATGGGTTTGTCATTGTTAGCAGCTTGTTGCAGTTAATAAAGACCGAGACATTTTATTACAACTCGTTTTATTTAGTTAAGAATTTAAATCTTTTTGACACACTCCGAGTCTGAATAAATGTTAGTGTCTTTTCTGGATTTTATCCACACAATATGTCAGTCCATGAATGGCAAATGCGTTCATTACCCCAAAATACATTAATGTATAAAAATATTGATCAAGGTCTACTAATAGAAATACAGTTTAGCTGCTGCTGAATTAAAAAAAAATCCATAGAAACGTCAGCACGTTTGAATCACCTGCATGACGCGTCATGCTTGGATTATTAAAACAAGACACTTTTTTTTAGTAATTCTGTACAAGCATGTGGATTTTAAAATAAACTTGTCAAAAAAATAATACAAGTTAGTTTTGATGATTCAGAATCTGATGAGCTCCTCATGATCATGTCACAAATGAAGCTCTGAGGGTTAAACAAAAGAAGAAAACGGCACAAGTAATGCACTAGTTGGTAGTGAACAGTGTAAACAACTCCTCTGTTCCCCGTCCTCTCATCAGGCTGCAGGGCAGAGCCTCCACTCGGTTTAGAGTCACTTTCAGACTTTTTCTGTCTTGTTGAACTTGGTTAGTTATCAGCTCTGACTGGCAGGCAGCTGAAGTTCCTTTTCATCACCAAACGCTTGTGAACATAGAGTCCGTTCAGCTTCTCTGCTCAGTCGGTGGCGTCCACTGCGTTGATGTTGCTGTCCAGCTGGTGTCTGAACGACAGCCGGGCCTTGGTGGAGAAATAGATCTGCGAGCCCCGGCTGAGGCTCCCCGCTCCTTCGCTGTCGCTGCCCCAGGAGGTGGTGGAGGACAGACGTGGCTTCATCTCCTCTACTGGAACTGAGAGGGCAAAGATAAGAGATTTAAACCACATCAGACTTCACAAACATGAAATAGCTGCTTATCTAGTCCAACTTTAGGTCTTTTAAAGGGATAGTTTGGACCTTTTGAGGTGGGGTTTTAGAGAAAGGTTAGGTACAGATAATATCTTACCTGTTGCAGATAGTTCTTTGAAACACCTCAGCTAGAAAGTTTTTTTTCTAACTGGTTCAACAAACTAATAGAACTAATTTAAAAACTACGCCAACCTCAAGAGTTTGATAGCAATTCACACGAATGCTGTTTTTATAACGCCAATGTTCATGCTCAATAATCCAGGTAAAAATCCAACAGTGTTCAGTCGGGTCATTTGGATGGTTTCTTTTCTTTTTTTTTTTTGCTGAGACTTTTTGTCCTTCATCCAAATGACTTCTTCAATCTGAGGAGCCACACAACAAACTGAGTCCCACAAACAGCTCATTGTGGAGACGAGTGGGACCGAGTTTGTTGTGTGGCTCAGATTGAAGAAGTCCTTTGGATGAAGGACGAAACATCTCAGAAAAAAAAAAAAAAAAAACTGAACATTGTTGCTGTTTTTATAACTTTTACAGTTTGATCCATTCCACATTCCACAGTTGTTCCAGCAGAAAGATTAAGATGTTTCTGCAGGAGGTGCACCAGACGTGCTACAGCTAGCAGCCGCTGCTAATGTTCATGTAAATAATATGAAACTGACATTGTGTTTCTCATCTAAACTACAACAACTACAGTAAAAACGTTAAAACAATAAATGATGTTTGTTCTTCATGTCTCTTCTGAATAATAATAATCTAATAAGAAATGTATTTAACATATTTCTGTACAAAAAGTATATAGCTTTTAATTTCTTTCTGGTCAAAGCTAGCTAACTTAGCAGTAGCTAGCATTCAGTTTTGAGTGGATTGACAAGCTAGCAGCTAATCCCATCTGGGCCAGAATAACAGTGGATTACTGCCATCTTAAAACAGCTCCTTTTCCAAATGATTAAAGAGAAGTTAGGGACTTTTCAGTCAAAGTTTATGGATGTTTTAGCCACTATGGCTGAGAATGCTAACTCTGCCTGTGAGTTTGGCTGAACTGATTAGCATATAAAAACAAGCTGCACACACTGCTCGTTGCAGATTCTTGTTACAGTTTTCATGCGTGTACTTCCTGTGTAACCTGTCCTGAAAATCTGTCTTTACAAGTAAAAAACTGGTAAAAATCTTCTGCTGTCGACAGTGGCTCCTTTTGAGTAAGCTAAAGCGAGAATATTTTTCTCCAACAAAAGTATCCAAAGTGTAGTTAAGAAGTTAATTACAGTGCTGTCAGACGAGCATTATCATGAATATTTAGTCACAAACATTTGAATATTCTTGCTGGAAGTTCTCCAGGCTGCACCAGAAGCACCAACAGCTGATTTGCAAATATACACTAATTTGTGTAAATAACCTGTTGGCAGTTTAAAGGTTTATAAAATAGTGTTTGGATGAACAACATTGACATTTTTCACATTAGAGGGTTTTTTTTAAAGACAAAAGCAATTGACTGTAGTGTAGTGAACTAGACCTCCGACATCAATCTGTCTCTGTGGACCTTCAGGGGACAGGAACTGTTATTTTATTGATTTGAATCCAGACATACAAATTATCTCATCAAGAGACTATTTAATTGTATCCTGAATTAATCAGTTGAAAGAACACTCTTCCTTTTTATATTATCATTACTATTTTACAATATCTTGATAATCAAAAGTGTGTTTAGTTCATACCATTTCTAAATGCTGAAGTAAACCACTCATTTAAATCAACTGTGAAACAGTATTAATGATTTTTAAACCTCATTAGATTTCATCAATCATACAAGTTAAATGTCTATTTACGAAGTAAGTGTGCATTTACTCTTCTGTCTGTGTGAGGAGTGGACCTGATGTCGGTCAAAAGTCAGAAGACAAGTTATGAGAACGAAGTGCCTTGTTTTTAAAACTCTCAGACAGTAAATAAGAACTGTCTGGCACCTGCTGTCTCTCACTTCTTCAAAATATTTTTCTGTCTGTACTAACCGTTCTTAAAAACATTTCTGCTGTCTGCTGACTCCTAATAACCCTCTGACATCACTAAAACTCCACCCCTGCTGGTTGTGCTAACCAATCAGGAAGTACCACATAACAGGAAGTGGATACCCTTTAAAAGTCAACACTTCTTGGAACTATCCAGTTTTTCCAGTCTTCCTGGAACTTTCAGTCGAAGATGAGACTCGGTCTGATGGCGAGTCGTACAGGAACTTTCAGTTCTTACTGAAAGTCAGCTTTGGAGTATGGAATTGGACCATGTGCCAAGTGTCCGTCCATTCCAGCGGAGTCCCAGCTGCCTCGCTGTGACTCACCCCGAGCATTAAATGCTCTCAGCTTCTAAGGAAGCTTATTCTGTTGATCGGAGTATATGGAACTACTTTGGAAGATTCTCAGCCACCCTGACCGGAGACGCTGAAAAGGTAGCATGCCAATGGACCTCTGTTCCGGAGTTGATGTATTCTCTGCTCAGGTAACAAGTCGTTCACGCCCTGAGTGTACCGGAGGGTCTGAGCTGGGGTCGGAGGAAGGGTGCCATTTTCTGGTCAACACATGTTCCTTCATCCATCTAAACCTCCTCTTTAAATCTACTCCTTCTCTTTAAACTTCTATTCGCCAGTAAATCAAGCTAGATGCCTTCAGAGATGAATTATTCTCCATCAGTAATCTTCTGTTGTCTTGTTTAGTAAACCTTGCCAAGTTTATTAATCAGAAACAGATCAGAAATCAAGTGTACACGTTTTGATGTTAAATTTTGATTCTGTTAAATAAATGACCGCATTTATTCTGATGGGTCAAAGATAAATTACGTCTCATGTCACTGATTAAAGCTCCACTCTCAAGTTATCTTGGTCACATGGAAGAAATTTAACTCGAAAAAGAAAGAATCCGTGTTAATTAAACAATTAATATTCTTTGTGCTTGAACTAGCTTTAAGAATAATTAATTAGTAGTATGTCAGCAGCAAAAGCTGTCCCTACATTACTACAGTAGTAATCCTACTTGGACTAGCTGTTAACTTGTCAATATGGCCTGGCTTGGACTCTTGTGCTCCAAATTTAAAGCGTTCAAAAAATTACCTGCAACAGGTAAAATATTAATTGTCCATAACCTTTACAGATAACCCCACTTCAAAAGATCTGACCTATGTGCCTTTACAGTTTTGCCCCCACCTGCTGCTGGGGGGCACTGCCGGCTCTTGCAGCGCTCTTTACAGCGTCTGTAGAAAGGGAAACACTGCAGCATCTTCACACCCATGACAGAGCAGTCTGAGGACAGAAGAGAGAAAAGAAACATTTATTTACTGATCAGGAAAACAAACAAACTTCTCTACAATTCAGCACTTTTCACTTCAAGCTGCTTGTCGGACCTCGGGTCACAGTGTAATGGGTTTTTGATGCTGCCCTTCAGCACGTCAGCTTAATGTGAGCTGACAGGTTCTCTGAATGGCCAGGTGGCCCAGCAACTGGCCACTCTGCCAGTATTTACCGTGCCATTGTTACTGTCCTCTTGCTTAATCCTGAAGAGGAACATCAATGCACTAACAGGCCAAGGAACAGATAAACCCTGTTCTAACCATCAGCTGCAGATTATACACAGGTCACATGGTGCGTGACCTGTCAGACATATCACGACCGACATGCAGACAGGTCCACCACTCATGCAGCTACTTTCATGTTATGAAGTAACCTGCACACTGGTCCAAAAAGTTTAATGCATTGGTTCTCTTTTTTTTTTTTTGGTGGTGGTGGTGGTGGTGTGTGTGTGTGTGTGTGTGTGTGTGTGTGTGTGTGTGTGTGTGTGGGGGGGGGGGGGGGGTGTCAAAATAAAATGTTCAAAGACCCTTGTTCCCAAGGGTCTTAAGTGGTTAAGTACGCAATTATTGCTCTTAAGCAGGGCTTAATTTGAAAACAGATCAATGCTGGAACGCAAATAGCGGGTGAGCCGGCTGTGTATCGGGGGCAGGGGTCTGGGGTTCCTCCCCCAGAAAATTTTGAATAAAGTAGATATGATTCCCTGCATTTTCTTGTACCGTATTTTAACGTGTTGTTAGACATCTACATTTACCTTAATTTGTAAGCACTCCGCTTCTGTCAAGCATCCTACACCGCCCCCCTTACTTTACAGTTGCACACCCGGCTCTTCTCTGCTGAATTCATTGTCTGACTCGACTCCACATGTGAAACCTTCAGGCGCCTCCTCCGTCTGTTCATGGTGGTTGCCTGTGGGCTCCTGCCCGCTTACGACTGCCTGGTTAACTCGGCACTCACCCGTACCACTCTTAGGGGCGGAGATTTTTTTAAGGGTAGAGGCGGAAGCGGCAGTTGTATGTGATATTAAGAAGTCGTGAGTGGCTGTTGTGTTTAAAATGAGTGTTTATGCAATTATTTTCAGTTTACATTTCCAATGTAAGTTTTATTCGTTCAAGGCAGTCATATTTGTTCATTACTTTATTATTAGTAAGCCTGAGAGTTACCGGATCCAAGCAAACAGTTACCGGAACTCACCCTGTCCAAATAATCACTGCTCTTAAGCCATTTCACAAAGAGCACTGTCAACCACTTATAGCCACTGTTTTTATTTCTTTATTTTTGGAAATTATTTTTGAAATGAGCCCTCACTTGGTGTTTCATGACCTACAGTGGGTCCTCAACCCCAACTTTAAAAACCACTGTTTTACACCATTCTGCGATGAGCTCCAGATCTGCACACGTCTGTCAACATTTCACCAGGACTGTGTGTCTAATTGTTGGAGAAATAGTCAACACAAGCTGTATTTTCTTTGAAAGGAAAGGCGTTTTTATTATAGTCTAATCAGGTTAAGAAATGGGTCATCTAAAATGGGACAAAGTGAGTTTATGGGTCTTGGCAGGTTCCACTGAAATTTCATTAAGAAGTGCCAATGGACCGTAATAATGCTGTCAATTCTTCTGCTATAAATTACCATTAAATGTCACAACATGATTTGTAGCATCAAAGGTTATCAAGCAGTAAATTGTAATATGCTACAGATATTACTTTACAATTTTCAATGATAAAGTCCTAAAAGATATTTTAAAGCACTTGACAAGGAGGTTATAAGATAAATTTGACACGCTAGTCTTGACAGATTTGTTCATACAAACAAACGTCGGCGCAAAACCAACAAAAACGCTGCAATACTCATGTTCATTCACATTAGCATATCAAAATACAGCGTTTCATTACGCTTTTGTCCACACGGAAAACAAAGTTTTTCCAAAACAGTCTATTATTTTTTTGTTTTAAAAAATATTCTTGTAAACACGTCACAGTTTCTAGAAATTCTTCATTCAAACAGAAGCACCAAAATCAACCAAAAACACCATAGTAGCTATGCCAGGCCTGTAGGTGGTGCTGTTATATTGTCATATAAAAAAAACCCCATCAAAAACAGAAAACAAGCTATGGAGCATGAGCATTGGGTACAAACTGTAATCACCAAACCCAAAGTTTCCTTCTTCTTCCCCATTTAGTCCTCTCTTTGTGGCAAATTATTGTTTATTAGCTTTATCTGCAACGTGAATTAGATTAATTATTCCTACACAGAAATATATGGATTTTGTTTTATGTTATTTTCATTCTGGAACCAACTTTTTGTAAATACAGTTTTGAGTTTCCCTAAAATGTCATTTCTGTGTTGACTATGATTGTCTAAAACAATAAAAAATAAAAACTTTGCAAAAACCTACAAAACATTACCACACGAACAGCTCCTTGGGTTGGCTAAAGGTTTTCACAGAGCAATTGCATAATTTTTGGTTTGACCCCATTTATTGGACAATTTCTGCCCAGTTACTGATCATTTCAGAGTACGAATAAATAAGTTGGCAAAATCAGGATAATGTGAAACAAACAAAAAAGAACCAGTAAAAAAAATGGCTTTTGTTGTTGTTTTAGTTTATAGAGATTAGAGTTGACCACCGAGCTTGAATCCCAAAATAGCTATGAACCTATTTGAGCATGTGGTGTCAGATTTTACGCATGAACATTATATCTTTAAACACTTAAGTCTTCATGTAACACATCTGCTCTGATTGGTCAACTGGAACATCAGTTGACCAATCAGAAACTGAGGGGTTTGAAAGACATAAGCTAAAATGTTAGCAACTAGCAAAAGTTTTCCGACAGAAGATGACAAAAAGGAAATAGCGAGAAATGTATGCAGTATGACAAAAACATTTCCTTATTTATTTATTTTTTTAGGCTAAATCTATTCAGGTTTTCGGTAATTGTGATCTGAAATGACAAACGAATTAATAAAATTACAAAAAGGTGCATCAAATAAAAGTACAAAAAGCTCAAAGTAGGAGGGGCTATTGGTAAATAGTGGGAGGAGCCCCAAGTAAGAGGAGATAAATATGGGGAGGAGTTTAATAGTAGGAGGGGCTACATGTAAGATAAACTGCACATGGGAGGAGCTATATATGGCAGGAGTCATGACAGTGGGAGGAGCTTTAAGTAGATACAAATGACCACATAGCACTTTTTTTATTTTTTTTTTAATTGTTAAGCACTTTGGCAACAACTGGTTTTTTAAAATGAAGCTTCATAAGACTTAGCGCAAACAACTAAACATTTAAAGCATATTTTAAAAAATTATGACAGGTGGGAAGAACTGTCCACAGGTGTATTTGCCATCTTTAAGGCTCTCCTATAAATTAGCAGCAAAGGATGATAATGCTTTAAAAAAGGGCAGGAATAACTTTAAATAACTTAGATGTATCTGCCAGTTTTTTTTAACTCTTTTTTTTTTTTTCAACAAACTTTCTGTCATTCAAAATGGGAATCATTCTAACTCTCCCAGCTCAATCTGAAATAAAATCCCCCTCCTTGGAGCTGTTCTGATGGGAAAACGCTCTGAGCGTGTTAATCCCCTGAGCCTCATTGTTCTGTAATCACACAGGAACAAATTTAGATTTGTGATGACAAACAGCAAACTGTGGCTGAAACATAAAGGAGAGCAGCTGAGTTTATTTACTCTTTTTTTTTTTTTTTACTTCCTCACTGCTTGCTTCTGCTTTCACTGGAGACGTGACACCTCTCACATACTCACACCGAGCTGCTGCTTCTTCGGCACGTTACAGACATGCCAGGGAAGGAGACACGTCCACTAGAAGGCCTAACCTCTTTATCTGAGCAGTCGCACAGTAAAAAGCTCCTATTTTGTCTTCAGTTTCCTCTGTGCCACTCAGGTGTGCCTCTGACACTCCATCCCCTCGTTACAGTGACTCCATTATGTCCAGCTCCATTTGCAGGTCCTGACCGCGACATTAAAAACTCGGAGTAAAGCTCACATTGTGCAGGAGGAAAACAAAGACTTGCACAGACTTTCCCACACAAACACTCAATATTAAGGCCGTGGTCAGTGGTGAGGAATTCTGGGCACAGATCATGATTGACTGGGAGGGGTCTGGCAGCTCGCAGCATGCTGGGAGTCTGGAGGAGAAAAACAACCTCAGAACACACTGACCACAGACAGGAGGGGAAAACAGGGCAGAGCTGGAGGACTAGAGAAAGTGATTTATATAAGAAGTGTTTTTTTTTTTTTTTTTGATTATGAATCAAACTTGAGGTGGTTTGACTCGTTCAGTCAGAGGCTGACAGAGCTGCTTGCACAATCCTACCACGGGATGCATTGCACAAGTTCTGTCGTCGTTTTATTTCAGAGTTTTATCAGTTTAATAACCTGTTTGTGCATGAATGAAGAGATCTTCAGAGGAACAGTCAACCAATACAAATATGTTTTATCAAAATACAAAAAAACCCCAAAAAACTCAGCATTTCTCATCACACCTCTTAGGACAAACAGTCTCATAAATACCGTATTTTTCTGACTATAAAGCGCACCAGGTTATAAGATGCATTAAGCGAAACAAAACAGTCAGACAAGTCAAATTTTATTCTACTCATTCACAATAACCACATAAAATCAGTTCAAGGTCAGTAAGTACAACCAGAGTTAATACATAAGGCGCACCTGATTATAAGGCTCACTGTCGATTTTTGGGAAAATTAAAGATTTTCAGTGCACCTTATATTCCGAAAAATACGGTACATGCAGCACTTCCTGTGCAGCATGGAGTATTTCCTGCAGGAATACCATCATATTTCTAATTTAATCTGATGTAAAAAAATAAAATAAAATCGCTGGCCGCGTAAAAGAGGAGCTGAGTAAACAATTAGCTAGCTAAAGCTAGCCATTAGCTTTGACTGGATTGACTGGCTTCACACTTGGTGCTCTGTGACTGATGTCACGGCAGATAAGTTACTGTCAGACAGAACATTGCTTCAAAATTTACCATATATTTCTTCAAACGGTTGTTCACTAAAAAGATATCTGCAGCAGGTGAGATATTGATTACTCACAACCTTACCACACAACCCCACATCAAAATGTTCTAAATATCACTTTGACGAACCCACTTTAAGTTTGTGCTGAGTCTTATAAATGCTTTAAAAAGGCTTGAAGTGAGTGAAAACATGAACTGAGAGGAAACAGGAAGCATGAATACATTACCATATTTTTCGGACTATGATGCGCACCGGATTATAAGGGGCATTAAGTGAAACAAGTTCATTTTGACAGATTTTTGAGCGCCGTCTACCACATAAACTCGGTTCGAGGTCAGCCAGAATGAATCCTGATTGGGTTGTTGTTAATTCAAAAGCAACTCACTTTAGTCTAAGTCCCACGCCGACTAGCTATTAGCTCATCAGCCTAGTCAGAATCAAGCTCTATCTCTTCAAACTGAGCTCATTCAAAGAGCTATCTGCAGCAGGTAAGATATTAATTATTCATATTCTGTCCACACAACCTTATTCCTAAAAACCCAAGCTGACTCTAAACCCTCCTCACCACTAAATGCACAAACTAAGAAGAACTCAAGATGAGTACGCTAAATCTCCTTTATTCATGTTTGTAAGAAATAAATTAGTTTCTAAAGTGTTTAAAAGTTCACAACGTAAAAATTGATATGTCAAAATGCGGAACAACTTGCTTCAGATTTTATTTAAATCTCTTAACCCATTATGTTTATAACCCCAATTAAGTGACAAGAAAAGGCATGCCTTTAAAGTTTACGGCATATTTTATACATAGTATAATTATAACTCCTGTCATTTTACTCAAAAGTCGCACAGGTCTTCAGAAAATAATAAACAAGAATGAATCTTTTAACATATTCAACCCATCTGTAAAGCTCGAACTTGGCATTTAAGCGACTCGTGTGGATTTAATGCATCGCTTGTGTCTTTTGCTGCAGTTTAGGAGGTGTAGGAGCTTCTGAATGAAGATCTGGACCAGACTAGATAATCTACTACAACCTGTAATCTCTTCTTGTCCGTGAATAAACCATGCATGCCTATGTTTACACTCTGAGCTGTCAGGAAGGGAGGCCAGGTGGTGGTGGTGGTGGGTCTGGGGGGGGGGGGGGGGGGTCATGTTTGCTTAAGTAGGAATAAACTAAAGTCTAAAGACGACAGTAGAAGGTTAAACATGAACAACTCATGGTCAGTGCTGCCAAACATGATAAAAGATAGATAACTAGAAGTGGCCCATTCAGGTGGAAAGGACAGCAGCTCACAAATGACAGATTTAGATAATCAGGACTGACACACCTCTTAAAAAAAAAAATAATCAAGGAACAACTTCACATTTCAGCTGTTTGATAAGAACGTTTTATGATCACCTATTCTGCTAACTTTATCTCCACTGAATTTCTAGAAATCCTGAGGCGTGGTCATCAGAAGAGAAAAAAAACGAACACACGCATAAACAACTTTAAATACTCAAAAAAAAACAACAACAGCAAAACAAAAAACAAGTTGCATGACGTACCTGGTGTAATTTGTGTGCAGAAAGGGGAAGAAAAGAGGGAAATATGTTGTGGTGTTAGTCTCCCAGCTGAAACAGCTTCCCTGTTGCTGCTGTGCTGAGTGTTTCAGCTCTGACAGCTCAGCCTTAAATAGGCTTCACTGATCCCTGCAGCGTGTTGAAACGGGCACGCCTGCTTTCCTTCACCCCCCCACCCCCCCCACAGCCCTCTTCATGTGCTGCAGACCTGAATGCTTCCTCCTGCATGCTTCACATTGTTTTGCCTGCGTGTGATCCGAACTGGCAGGAATAAACAGCAGCTCGTTGTCACAACTGCAGAATTATTATTGTGCGTATGTGACTTTTGGTATTGGTGCAACTTTGGCTTTTTTAATATTTATTTAGCCTTTTCTGCCATTTTATTTCTCAGAAAATGAATTGAGCTCATTTTATTTACATCCTTCAAATCTTTAGATGTGTTTACAACCTTTTACTGCTCCTTTCACATTTTGTTCTGCTTCAGCTTCTTTGTGCAAATATAAATATTTTTCAGCTACTTTCAGCTAATTTCAGCTGTTTTGTGCTCCTTTCAGATTATTTCTCTTAACAACATTTTTGTGCTTCTTCTAACTTTCTTCTGGTAATTTCAGCTTGTTATGCTCCTTTCAGCTTATTTCTGCAAGTTTCAACTTTTTCTGCTATTTCAGCTACTATTTAGCTGTTATGCAAATTTTTTTTAGCTAATTCCACATTTTTTGCATTAATTTCAACCTTTTTCAACCTAATTCAACAAAAATGTGCTCTCTCCACTTCATTCTGGCAATTTCAGCTTCTTTCTGATTTTTAGCTACATTTCAGCTGTTTTTTTTTGCTAGTTTCATCTTTTTCCAGATAATTTCCACTTTTCTGTGCTAATTTCTGCTCCTTTCAGCCTTATTGGGCAAGACTGTGCTCTCTCCAGTTACTCCAGCTAATTCAAGCTTGTTCTACATTTTCAGCTATCTTTTAACATTTTTTATAGCTAATTTCAGCTGTTTACATATAAATTCAAGTTTTTCATGGTAATCTCTGCTACATTCAGCATAATTAACTTCTTTCTGTTAATTTCAGCTGGTTATCCTCGTTTCAGCTTATTTCTGCTAGTTTCAGGTATTTCTGCTATTTCAGCTACTATTTAGCTGTTTTGTGCTCAATTTAGCTTTTTCAGATAATTCCACATTTTTGGAGCTCTTTTCAGCTCCTTCCACTTCCTTCTGGTAGTTTAAGCTTTTTTTTCTTCCCTTTCAGCTACCTTTCAGCTAGTATTTTTTGGTAATTTCAGCTTTTTAAATTAATTTCCTAACTTTTTTTTGCTTTCTGCTTATTTAAACATAATTCAGTAAATGTGTTATTTCTGCTTTCGTCTGCTAACTTCTGTTTATTCTTCTATTTCAGCTACATTTCAGCATGTTTTTAGCTAATTTTAGCTGTTTTTATCAAGTTCTTCAGCAATAAGCATTCACATTACATTTTTGCAGGAAAGGCATTTTCTGTAGTTATTATTATTATCATTATTATTATTATCATCATCATCATCATCATCATCATCATCATCATCATCATGATGATGATGATGATGATGATACAGATGTATCAAAGGCTAAAGGTGGGTGATAGTTTTTGCCTGTGTCTGTGTTCATGTCTCTGTTAACAGAATATCTCAAAAACCACTGAATGGATTTTAATCAAGCTTTCAGAAAATAATTGTTGGATGCAAATCTACAGCTGACTGTGTTTTGGAGTCAGCTTGATTCAAGATGGCTGCTACAGCTAATCAAAATTAGCAAACATAAAAATTGTCATAATTCAGTCAATTTTACAAATGTTGCACTGAAGTCTGGCGTTGCAGTAGCTGAGAGTCGTTCCCAACAGGCAACCTGAGCGCTACATAATGTGCAAGATCTTTGCCTAAAACTTCAGCAATAAATGCTGGAGTCAACCTTGTCTGTCTGTTAGCAAAATGTCTCGTAAACTAGATAGCAGATTTTAACGAAACTCTCAGAAACTAATCACTGGATGAACATCTACACATGTTCAACTTTTGGAATCAGTCCAATTTAACATGACTGCCACATCTGATCAATCTCAGCCAACACTAAAATGATTATAACACAGTCAGTTTTATAAATATTGAGTTAACATTTGGGTTGGTAGTTGCTGAGTATCATCCCCAGCACGTACTATGAGCATGATATCGCTCCACATTGTGATTATTCACAGCGTTATTTTAAGTTTAAACCAAAACGGCAACAACTCAGCCGTTCCTCATAGGATGATCTTAACCTAAAGCTCTGGCCTGAAAGGTGGCGGGTGATACGTATAGCTTCAAACAATGCTAGGCCTTGAATTTGTGTATGTTTTTGAAGTTTGTCTTCATTTAGATGAGGTCAAAGATCAGTATTAAGATTAACACTTTAATACCAGAGCTTTATAACAGGTGCAACCTTCAATGAGCACAGTCTGTGCAGAGGCCGGCTGAGACTGCAACAAACGACAGGCTGATGTATTTTATGCTTTATTCAGATCATTTTTTCTTCTCAAACAGAAACTGAGGAAAATTGTGTTTGCACAACACAATCTTTTCTAATATTGTACAATCCTCTCTAACCATGGCACAGTTTAGATTTATGCAATAGACATAGACAACACTTGTTTCCTCTATGAGTATTTCCACACGGCTGTGAAGGTGAACAGGATCAGAACCCACAGGAGCGCCTCGGTCCTTAAAGGACTCCTGGTTGTTTTGCTTATTGATGATGGAAATTTTTTAGTTTATCCAAAAACAAGTCATTATGACCTCTGTGTGTGAGCGGGGTATTCAGCAAACTGATCAGCAATCGGCTGATGTCTAGTCTCACTGGGTTTGTCTAAAAACATTTCACAGGAAAATCACTGTTGAAAAACGTTAATGTCACCAACAGCTTTACACAATGCTTATTGCTAAAGAACGTGCTGAAAAACAGCAGAAATTAGCTTAAGCATGCTAAAATGTAGCTGACCAAACCTAGGATTGCAGAAGAATGAAGAAATAGAAAGTATTTGCTGAATTAGGTTTAAATGAGCAGAAATTAGACAAAAAAGTTAGGAAATTACTAAAAAAGCTAAAATAAAGAAAAGCTGAAAATGCAGAAAGGAGCTTAAACTACCAGAAGGAAGTGAAAGGAGCTGAAATGAGCTCCAAATATGTGGAATTTGCTTAAAAAAAAAAAAGCTAAAATTATGTAGCAACAACAACAAAGCTAAAAGGTAGCTGAAATAGCAGAAAAAGTGGAAACTAGCAGGAAAAAAAAGCTGAAAGAAGCAAAACAAGCTGAAATGAGCAGAAAGAGGTTAATTGGGCTGAAAGGAGCAGAAATTACAATGAAAAACATACATTTATCTTAAATCAGCTGAAATTAGTTAAGAATGCTAAAAAGTAGTTGAAAAGGTAGAACAAGCTTAAATGAGCAGAAGGTAAAACACGTTTGCTGAAAGAAGCAAAAATGAGCACAAAAAATGGAAATTATCTGGAAAAGCTGAAATTGGCAAAAGAAAAGCATCTGAAAAGTAGATAAAAAAAGCAGAACAAAGCTTAAATTACAAGAAGGAAGTGGAGATAGCACATTTTTGCTGAATTAAGCTGAAAAACATTTAAATGAATGCAAAAATGTGGAATTAGCTGAAAAAGCTTAAACTAGCATAACAACTATAAAGCTGAAATAATAGAAAAAGCTTAAACTTGCAGAGATAAGCTGAAAGGATTGTAACAAGCTGAAATTAGCAGAAAGAAGTTACAAAGTAGAAGAAGCACAAACATGTTGTTGTTAGCAGAATTAACCTGAAAGGAGCATAAAACAGCTGGAAAACAGTTTAGATTAGCTGAAAGTAGCTGCAATTTGCTTAAGGAAGCTGAAAGAAGCTGAACCAGAACATGTGAAAGGAGCAGTAAAAGGTTGTAAACAGATCTAAAGATTTGAAGGATGTAAAATGAGCTCAACTCATTTTCTACAAGGAAAAAAAAGACATAAAAGGCTAAATATTTCAAAAAGCTAAAGTTGCTTCAGTATCAAAAGTCATATTAGGATTGTCCTGAAACAGCTGAACATTTTGATCTATGATTTGTTGAAATAGGTTGAAAACTGCAGATGAGAATCACACAGAAAAATGTACAGAAGAAAAATGGGTCACAATAGTGTGAATGCTTCATAAACATTCACACTATAAAACAAACAATAGGGAGGGACGCGTTCAAGGAACAGTCCTGAAGTCAGGTGTTCCTTTATTCGCAGCTGAAAGCAGCCGAGCAGGTTTTATTCATCTCAAGGACAAGCTCAAGCACAGAGAAGAATGTAAAAATCAAAAACTGTGTCATCTTTATCTCTCAGTGGATTTCCCTGAAATGAAGAAGCTGAAAGTGAAGTGGTTAGGTTTGAGTCGCAAGAAGACAAACACTGCAGGTCTTTGTTTTCTATTGTTCCGTAACGCTACTTTATTTAAAAGAATGCTTTAAAACTAGGAATTAAATGAATAACGATTTACTGCATTTTGGATCATAAATTTAGGTCATCCAGCTTCTGAACTGCAAAAAACTCCATTTAAAACCCAAACGTTACTAAAACACCGGACTAAAATTCTCAGGCGAGCTTTGAAAACACTGACCTCAGCGACCTCACCATTTTACCACAGGTAAAATACAAAATATTAGGCGTAACCAATGTGACACAAAAGCTTTGTGATGGGAAAGGGTGATAAAGTTTGGAAAAATGACTCCCAACTTTATTAAAATAAAAATTTGGCCAATCTGGGATCAGTAATGTTTATTCGTAGCTATCTTGTTTACTGGGAAACATTATTTCCAAGTATTATCCACATCCTAAAGAAGTCAGGGGCACCACTAGGATGGGCAGAGGGGGGAATTCTCTTTATTTTGCAGGCCCCACACTGGCCCCCCTGGCTAGACAGTCTTTCATGCATAATCTGTCTCTTAGTAAAATATTTCATTAACCAGGAACAGAGTTTAATGAAACTCTCAAAGTAATAACTGCATATTTAGCTACACCTACTGTATTTAACTTTCAAAGTTAACTTGATTCAAAATGGCCGAAACAGCTAATCAATCTCAGCAAACACAAAAAATGG